GCCCGGCCCCGCCCCCGCCGCCACCACCGAGCGGCCCGGCCGGAGCGCCGCGCGGAGCCAGCGCGCCCCCTGCCGGCCGGGCGGAACCGCCAAGGGTCGCGACTGAGCGGCCAAGGGAGTCGTTCTGTCGCGACACGCGGGACGGGCGGTCATATCCGGAGATGGCCGTGGCGCAGCCCTCTCCTGAGGGATCCAGCGCCGCCTGCGGGGAGCGGACCTCCTGTGCGACTCGGGGACAACCGGGCCGGGACCCCCGCCATAGGCCTGGGGGGAAAATGGGGCGACAGACACTCCAAATGGAAAACTACGACTCCCAGCATCCCTCGCGACAGCGCCTGCGCCTGCGCCTTACAGCCGCGGGCGCTGATTGGCCGCCGGCGCCGCCGCCATTTCGCGCGTTGGCTCGATGCCCGTAGTGGCGCGGCGGGCGGCAGTGCTGGCTCCGCCCCCTCCGCCCGCTGCTCCGGACAGGCCGCTCCGGCCCGCCGCGGCATCGGTCCCGCCCGGTGAACGGGTAGGCCTCGGGCCCAGGCCCAGGGACCCAGCGGCGCCCCGCCGGCCCTCTACAAAGCCACCCAATCAGCGCCCGCAGCGCGCCAGACCGACATCCCCCTCCGCCAATCAGCGGCGCTGGCGGCGGCAGCCAATCGAAAAGCGAGACGCAGCGGGGGAGCGTGGCCGTGCGGGTCACGTGGGGCGCGCTCGGCCAATCAGCGGCGCGGGACGCGGGGTCGCCCCGGCTCCCGCCAAGTACGAGCGGGACGGGCCGGGCGGGACCGGGCCCGGAGCGGCGGGGGCTGCGCGGGCCGGGCCGCCTCGGGGTCGGGCCTGGCACCGCCGCCCGGCACCGCCGCCAGCCGCCGCAGGTAAGGCCGGGCTGGGGGTGCGGCGCGGCCGGGGCGCGAGGTGTTTCCGGCGGCGGTTGGGCCGCGGGGTGCGCGGGGCCTGCCCGGGGTAACAAAGGAGGTGCCGGAGCTGCCGCCGCGCCCCGGGGCTGGGCCCGGGCCCGCCCTGCAGCCGCACTCGTGCGGGGACAGGGCGGTTTGGGTGGGGAGCCATCCGAAAGGCCGTCCCATCGCAGCCGTGCGCTCCGCTGTGCCCGGGCCTGGGCGCTGCCAGCGCTCCGGGGGCAGCCGCAGCCGCGCTGGGCACCTGTGCCAGGGCCTGCCCACCCTCACGGCGGCGAATTTCCTCCTCGCATCTCCTGGGCTGCAGGCACGGGCTCCTGGGGACGTTCCTGCCCAGCCCAGCGAGGGGGACGCTGTGGCTGTGGCAGCCGGTGGGTTGCTTTGCCTTGGGGGTGACACCGGGAGCCCTTTGTCCTCCCTCAGCGGCCCCGGGAGAGCTGCTGGGCTCTGCCTCAGCCGTGCCAGGGAAGCAGCAGCAGCTGGCTGGGAGCAACCACGGGTGCTGATTTGTTGTTTTCTCCCGTAGCCATGGAGTGCAGAGACAAAGCTGCTGTTCCTCCACGGAAGCTCGTCCAAGGTAAGGGAGTGTCTCTCATCCAGCACAGTTCTAGCACGTTAGGAACGTCTCAGAGCTGCTTTTGTGAGATACATGTCAAAGTGGCACTGCCTGTCTCTGAGCTGCTGTTGTTGTTGCAGCTCGGCTGCCCTTCAAGCGCCTCAACCCCGTGCCAAAGGAGAGTCTCAACGTCAATTCAGAAGTCAAAAAAGTCAAGAGCTCCCCGGGTGCTTTTGCTGCCAGCAAGGATCCCTCCCTGGATGCCTCAGGTGCCTCCCTGGACAATGTGGAGAACGACTGCCAGCTGGGCTCCGACGGGAATTTGACTCCGAAACTCATCAACGGGAAGGGTCCGCTGGACCATTTTATCCAGAAAAACCCAGGAGGTGACACGAGTGACCCCGGGGGCGTCCCTGACCTCTGCGGGGGCTCTGGCCACGGACTCGGGGACGGCGCAGAGCCGGGGGATGCGGATTCTAGAGCTGCTGTGAGCAACGGCACCACGGGAAAAGGGCTGAGCTGCCTGAGCTCCTGGCAGAGCAGCCCAGCAGGAGACTCCACGGAGACTGAGGGGCCCCAGGCAGAGCAGGCTGCAGCAGCTGGGCCCCAGCCCACGGCCTGCAGGGACGTGGCGGGCAGGAAGGGCGCTCAGGGCGAACTGAAGGACGTGCTCTTTGAGGGGAAGGTGCCCGTGGTGCTGCTGGAGGACATCATGAGCCTGAAGTGCCCCCAGGTGGCCCCTCTGGACGAGGCCTCGGAGAGCGAGGCCCTGGAGTCGTCCCACGAGGGGGACTCGGGACTGACCAACTCCTCGCTGAGCTCCGGGAGCTCCCCCGAGCTCCTGGCACAGAGCAAGGGCAGCAGCAGCCCCCTGGCTGCCTCCACGCCTGCCAGGAAGGTTGGTCTGCTCTGCTTTGGGCTGCAGTCCCTGTGCTGGAATGTTTGGCTTCCTGGGGTGCTGGGGGAGAGGGTGAGTGGGGCAAACACCCTGAATTTTGGGGCAGTTTGGGCAGAGGAGCTTCCAAGGGCAGCAGCGTCTGCTCAGGTGGCTCAAACAGCACAGGGAGGGTTCTCCCAGGAAAGGTGGTGGTGGTTGATTCCTGAGTTGTTGCCCTTTGGGGTCTTTAAATCCTGCAGCTCAAGGATTTGATCCTCCCTGGCTCTGGCTGCTGCTGTAATTACATTTCTTTAATGAAATGCCCACCTGGGGCTTGGTGTTTTGGGAACAGCATCCGAGAGCAGCTCTGTGCTTTAGGTGGTTTTTCCCAAGCTCTGTTTTGTCCTCCTCAGAGCTGCTGGGATTCCTGTGGGGATGTTCCCCCAGTACAGCCAGTGCAGATGCTTTTCCAGCTCTGAATTCCTGCAGCTGCCAGGGAGAAGCTGTGGCACAGGGTGCCCAGAGCAGCTCTGCTGCCTCATCCCTGGCAGTGCCCAAGGCCAGGCTGGGTGGGGTTGGGTGGAACCTGTCCCGTGGCAGGGGTGGCACTGGATGGGCTCTGAGGTCCCTCCCAACCCAAAGCTTCCTGGGATTCCATGAAAAAGCTCTGGATGAGGAGGTTTTTGGTCACCTGAGTTTCAGTTTAGCAGCTCTGCTTCAGCAGGAGGCCTCCAGACACCCTGGATTTTGGGGCAGTGTGGACAGAGGAGCTTCCAAGGGCAGCAGCATCTGCTCAGGTGGCTCAGACAGCACGGGGCTGCTTCTCCCAGTCTTTTTGTTGTGTTTATTGAGTCAAGGGATGGATTCCTCCTGTGTGAAAACTCCCAGTCTTCCATCTCTACAATAAACAGACACACTCAAGCAGGCAGGAAGTATTTCCAGTGTAGCAGAACAGCAGAAAGCACTCCTGGTGTAACCCAGTCCTGCCAGTGGGGCTGGATTTGCTCATGCTGCTCCCCAAAACGAGGGGCTGCACCCCAGGCTGTGCAGCTGGGAGTGCTGGCAGCTTTGTTTTCCTGGGAGGAAACAGCTCAGAGGAGCTGAAGCCCCCACCTGACAGAACTCCTGTTTTATATCAGACAAATATAGAAAATAAAGCAGTTGGGCTGTGTTAGCCTGTTAATCACAATTTAAATGTGATGCTGTCAGTGGCAGGAGGAGGATGGGGGATCCAGTAAATCACTGAAATATTGACAAATTAGGCCTTTAACCAGTCTGTGAACGATGGTCTTATGCATAAAACACCTTTTTCTTCCCCCCATAAATAAAACATAAATGAGAAGTGTGCCCTGTTTGGAACTTAGGATCAGTGAGCTGCTACTGGTGGGAGATCAAGTGGACTGTGATGACAAGAAGAAAGTGTTAAAATGTGGGAAGCATTCCTTGTATTCATAAAGTTTACAGCTAAGTATCACAGCAAGATAGATGGATGAAAAAAGAAAACCCAAAGAAACATAAGTTTAGCTGGAAGGAAGTGAGTTTGCCATGGTGAAATGTGCCCTGTGGTTCAGAGCAGCTCCCTTGCAAAGGCTCCTGTGGGGAGCAGAGGGGTTTGTTCATGGGGGCAGGAGCCTGGGCTGGGACTGGGGACACTGGGTGTTCTGAGCTGTGTCCTCGTTCCCTGCTCGGGGGGTTGGAGTGACTGGGTGTGATCTGCAGGAGCAGCCTGGTGTCACTCAGGTTGGAAAACCCTGTCACTCAGGATCTCCTCTAAAACTTGCATTTTGTAATTGCAGGTACCTCAGAAATTCCACAGAAGTTCAGCAGAGAAGGAGAAGCTGAGATTGCAAAGAGTAAGGCATTTCCCTGACACCCAAACCTCCCCTGAGGAGCCAGCAGAGGCTTTGCCTTTTATCTCAGCCCAGCTGCAACATCTCTTTTGCCATTTTTCCTCACCCTGGGGAGCGTGGAAGAACCTTTGATGCAGGCAGTTAAAGTGCTTGGCTCTTTCCAAAGCTCCTGAGTGGAGCCCTGGCTGCATTTGGGTCTCTCTTCCCAAAGATTAGAAACGTTTAAGCCCCAAAATTCAGGCTCTGTTTTTATGAGGCAAGTGGGGCACTGTGGCTGTGGCTCCCAGAGGATGTCACCACTGGATGCCACCACTGGGAATGCTCAAGCTCCAGGTTCTGCCTGCTTGGCTGCAGCTCCTCTGCTCCCTCACTCTGCTGCCAGCCATGGGATGCTGGGTGCAGAGGAGGCTGAAGGGTCACTGCAGTTTCCAGCAGTCAGGGTTTTTTGGGGTTGTTTTACCTGCACCTGGGAGGGTTTGTGCCCAGGAACTCTGTGCCTCTCAGTGGCTTGTTTATAAACTTGTGTGCTTTATGTAAGTTGGAGCTGTAAAGCTTTTCCCAGTGCCCCATATAGAATCCCAATCTGTTGTTTTCTTCCCTTCTATAGCTGTGTTAAAAATAGCAGGGATGGGAGGGAGAGAGGAGAATGGGAGCTAAAAATGATGCTGGGAATGAACCAGACCCACCAGTGAGCTGTCAGCTTCACACCAGCTTCCCAGCACCCAGCACATTCCATGACTCAGGCTGACAGTGTTGTTTCCCTGCCATTGGCACCATTTGGC